AGCTTTAACTGTGAACTCGGGTTTTTTTGTAAAAAAAAAAAATACAGTTTACAACTCCACAAGGAAACCTGTCAACCCCACTATTAATTTAAGGTATCTTTCATGTGTGCAGGAGGAGGATATAGGCATTAGGATGGAATGAACGCATCCTCTCAATTGTGTCATGAATGATGCAGCAGTAGAAATATAGATGATGGAACAGTTAAAAACATCATGGCGATGGATCCATTGCAAGCCTCACAAGGTCCACCACAAGGATCCCTAATCTTTCCACCTTTTCACTTCCCCCAGTAGCCATTTCCAGTCCCAGGGAAGTTAATTCCCAGAGTCAGGGAAGCCATGTAGAATAACAGGTGAGCAGGAAGACATGCTGGCAGGGTGGTACATCACTGAACCCCATTTTTCCCCCCTCACTTAAGACTTAAAAAGTGTTCAGGGCTTAATCAGGCCACTTTCCCTCCTCCTCCACTGTCCCCTTTTTTCTCTTTAACTGACAATGTTACATGCCTTCTGAAGAGCAATTACTATGTTCAGTCATTATCAGACCATTTCAAGGGTATTGTTTGTTGACATGTTGTGCTTATAAGCTTAAGATCTCTGGTCTAATGAACTAATAAATAAAGGAGGAGTGTTGTAGATGGGTATCATTTCTGTCATTTCCAGACTAATATTTTCATAATGGGAAAAAAATGTAGGAATCCTAGCTTTGTCAGTGGGTGGCCCTATTTCAGTGCTGATAGACATGGGACCATTTAGTGTAATGGCACTGGAATTGAAATCAATCATGCAGTGTAACATGTTGCACAGATAGTCAACATGGATGGATCAAAAGGGAACTTGGTTCAACAACCTTTTTGGATATAGACTAAAAATCTTTGCTGTCCTTTAGTGACATGGATTTTTCAGTTGTCGTAATGATTTAAAACCTATGTGTTTAGCAACTGATCTTTGGTTTGATGCACAAAGCCTTTCACGAAATGTTAGCATAGGTATTTAAAGTTTTCATTTTAAAGAACTACATACTTTTTGGTAATGGCAAGCAGCGCCCTGATTTCTATTTCATTACAGAGCTATATTACAACATTTCACTCTTGCCATTAATACTGATGTACCTGCTATGTAAGATCTCAGATTACTGCATTAAAGAATCAGTTATGTTTCCTCTAAGCTGTGGAGTCTTGTGAGCAAAAATTCTATTTTGTGAGCTACTGGCATTGAAGTTGTGAGCGAGCCATTTGGTTGCTGCATAAATTAGTTTGCTTTTGCTCTGGGGCTGTCCTTCCTGAGCTAAGACAAAAATGTGTGAGCCAGAAGCTAAAAAACTGTGAGCTAACTCACACTAACTCAGCTTAGAGGGAACACTGGTTGTAACCAGTGTTCTCTCTAAGCTGAGTTAGTGTGAGCTAGCTCACAATTTTTTAGCCTCCATCTCACACATTTTTGTCTTCACTCAGGAAGGATAGCTCCAGAGCCAACTATTTTATGCAGCAGCCAACTCGCTCACTCATAACTTTAAGTCCAGTAGCTCACAAAGTAGGGCTGCCAAGTGGAAATGGGTGGCGGGTAACCCCCCGCTTTGGAGGCCCGATTTCTGCTGCCGCGGAATCGGGCCCCGGGGGGAACTCCGCCCCCTGGAGGTGACGCAACCACATCGATCACGGCCCCAACATGATCGATGTCGCGCGTCACTTCTGGGACGTGCTGGCGTCATGCGCGCGCATCGGAGGAAAGTTCCTGGAGTCCGGCGACACTCTCCCACCAGTAAGAAGATTCGACTTGGCAACCCTATCACAAAGTAGAATTTTTGCTCACAATACTCCACAGCTTAGAGGGAGCATTGGTTATAACAGAAGGCAAACAATTGATGTGACTGACATGATAGAGACCACAAAATCCATTGCAAGTTGCTCAAAAGCTGATTTCACATTGAGTCCCCTGTGCTACCCAAAACCAGCTGTTAACTGTCCAATCTATACAAAAAGGGTACAATCTTGCTATTATAAATAATTGGGGGGGGAAATCTGTATTCTTGACAAGGGCCAAGTAGCATAGCTCTTCCAATACCCTCAAGAGACCTTTCTTTAAAAGATTGGCTGTCTGGGGGCAATTTATCCTGTACAAACAGTCAGGTTCCAAAAGCCATTTCCACTGATATTACAGATAAACAACAACAACAATAACAACAACAGAATGCATAAGCTTGAACACAGAATGGTTTCTCACAGTTGCATTATTAGCAATTAATTCCTAGGAGGCATAAGACTAAACACAAATTGTGCTGTTCTCAAAGGAGTCCATTAAATTATGTTGGGGCCCTTAATCTCCCCAGTCAAAGATAAATAAAAACACACCCCATGTTGATTTTTTGCTTCCTGCCAATGTATCAAGCTGCTTTAGTGCTACTAAAAGAAATAATTACATTACAGATGTAATCTGTTTTATTTTGTTGTTTTTTTACATCAAGACGCGGCAATAATGAAAAACCAGCTGAAGATAATGGCGCTACAAAAACAGGCCAAAAGCCTTCTTACAAGGTATATTTACCACTGAGCTTGGAGATGCTTTATTCCACTCTATTCAGTGAGATGTCACTGCCTTTAAAACTGGCAACAACCGTAATCAATCAAATGCGCCTATGTAATCTAAGTTTTAAATATTTACTATTTGGAATGATGCACTAGACATTTTCCCCCTTTTGCTATTCAGAACAAAGCAGGAACTAAAAAAGGGAAACCACCCAGCTAAAAACAACCACTACATCGTGAGCATCTGTAAATAATTACTACAGTAGAATGTATGAAGTTGCCTTTTACTAAGTCTGACCATCTAGCCCAGTACTCTGGCAACAGCTCTCCAAGGTTCAGAGAGTTCTTTCCTAGTGCTGCTACCAGCATTGTTTCTGCACTCTGCCACCCTCACTCCCTAAAGGGACCCCCCAAAAGAGCCACAATGATAACAGGAACACCATGGGTTAGATCCAGTAGTAAAGTCCGGGTGCTGTGAGGGAGGCTGGTTTTTTGCCAATCCCCCTTGCCTGCGGCAGATCCCAGTTTGCCTCTCATGATGTTTATTAGGGTCCCCTATCCCCTAGGACAGTAATGGTGAACCTTTTAGAGACCAAGTGCCCAAACTGCGACCCAAAACCCACTTATTTATTGCAAAGTGCCGACACGGCAATTTAACCTGAATATTGTTTTACTTTAGAAAAAACAACTCATACATTAACGTAAGATGATCCAGACAAAGTAAGGAAAGCAATCCCAAATGCTTTCATTTACTTAAAATTATTTGGCAGAGAATTCAACACTTTAATGATGGTCTGGGCCTGGCTGGGGTGATGGCACGCGTGCCCACAGAGAGGGCTCTGAGTGCCACCTCTGGCACCCATGCCATACGTTCGCCACCACAGCCCTAGGAGCAGCATTTCAGGAACCCTTTCAGGCTGAAACAAGAAGGGCAAGGTAAGAAAGTCCTGTTCCACTGGTGGGTCCAGCCCAATTGGGCTTAATGTTTTTTCCTATTAAATCCTTAAATGCTTAACCACTTTAGTGACAAACAAAAAGCCATGCTATATTGTTTTTGTTGTCACACACTGGTTTTTTACCAGAAAATGTACACATTTTTCAATATTACTTGAACATCAGCAAATCAGCCTTATACATTATATGTATATTATGTATAGAAATCAATGTACATTGTACTGTGAAAATTCTGCATAGATTGTTAATAAAAATGGTAAAGGTAAAGGTTTCCCTTGCTGGAAAGCTAGATGAATCCAGCTCTAGGGGGCTGTGCTCATCTCCATTTCCGAAGACTTCTCCGTGGTCATGTGGCCAGCATGACTAAATGCCGAGGCACACAGAACACTGTTACCTTCCCACTGAAGTGGTATCTATTTATCTAGTTGCAATTTCTTGCTTTTGAACTGCTAGGTTGGCAGGAGCTGGGGCCAGAGATGAGAGCTCACTCCATCATGTGGCACTTGAGTCTTGAACTGCCGAACTACAGACCTTCTGGTCTTCAGATCAGCATCTTAACCAATGGTACAACATTTTAACACAATACATCTGAATCTATAAAACTAATAGGAAAAAAGCAAAAAAAAATCAAAACCAGGAGAAAATATGAACAAATATAAAAAGCAAAACAGGGAACATTAGTGCATCTTTAGTGACCAGTGTTCCCTCTAAGGTGAGTTAGTGTGAGCTAGCTCACAGTTTTTTAGCCTCCATCTCACAGATTTTTGTCTTAGCTCAGGAAGGATGGCTCCAGAGCAACCTAACTGATGCCATAGCCAAATGGCCTGCTCACAGCTTTAATGCCAGTCGCTCACAAAGTAGAATTTTTGCTCACAAGACTGCACAGCTTAGAGGGAGCTTTGCTAGTGACATCTGTATTATGGATCCCTCTTCCATCTGTTTGAAATAAAAGTACTTTTTCATTGTTAACTAACTCATATTTTGATTTTTTTTAAAACAAATATGGCTTACAAAATTTTAGTCAGCAACACAAACACGCACACACATGACTTCATGGAGGTTTACACGTATCGCAGTCTTTTATGACTGCCATTTACCATAAGGTCTCCATGAAAAATACGTAATCAACTATCCTGCATTCGGGGTGAGACAACCAGTCTTGTGTCTGAATGTGTGAGTGGTGGCCCAAACAACTTCAGTTGGGACAATGAACTGAAAACCTGGTTTAAATTAGGAAGTGAAGCCAATCTACCACTTTGGAAAGATACAAGATACTGAGATTATTTTTATTTTATATTTGGTCTTCTGCTTATAGGCACAACAACAAAATACACATCTACAAGTCTGAAGAATATTCATATGAAGAATTAGGTATACACCTCTTTGAACTGGTATCTAGGGAAAGATTAGGCCACCATTTCAGGTTTGAGTTTTCTTAAAATGGTACGTGTACATGTTTATCACACTTAACAGGAAATAACTGCTTTTGTATTGAGGTTCTTTACAAATGGAAGATTTCCATCATTCAATATGGAATGAGTGCTGTTTCTTCCGGAACTTTTTGACAGATTTATGATTCTGCTGCCATACCTGCAAGGTTGTTCCTGCTGTGATCTGAAAAATTTAACAATATGGAGTTCTACCAATATACTAAGGCTGATCTATCAGCAGTGAATTCTGATAGTCAGAACAGAATTGGAAGCACTTGCTACAACATTACTTCTCAGTCTTTTAAGGGAAGACTACAAGAAGTTTCCAAAGCCCTGTAAGCAAGAACAAGCTGCTCACTCTCTTGCATATGTCAAAGTCCCAACCTAAGCATTCCAGGCAGAATCACTGTAACAAATAGCTAACCAAGAGATAAACACTACACTAGGAGTGCCCAAGTTGAGACACACATCTGGGCTGTCTGCTCAGGACCATGAAATCAAGAATGTTGTCAAGCACCAGGTGACCCCAATACAAATGTGTTGATGTGCCCTTAGCTTAAGTGGGTCACAGATGGTGCAGATCTCTGTCACAGCATTTCATTGTAGGTAAGGAATGTAGGTAAGGAATGACTTAAATTAAGAAGAAAAAGACCAATGTCTCTGTACTTACTGGGGCACTAAGCTCTGGCAAACTTGCTTGGTACGTGAGTGGCCGACAGTCCCGAGTGTTGTAGACTAATATACATGGAAGGAACATAGGTCCAAGGTCATCCCCATCAAGAACATCAACAGTGAGGGTGGTTGTACTTGTTCTTCGTTCAATCAGATTTTGAGCCCGGTCCTGTAAAGGGAATTGGGAGTGGATGGGAACACAGAATAGGCTTTCTAGAATGCTACTGCTATTTCTTCACAAAAGTTCTTAATACCAATCACCACACAAAGACACATGAGAAAATCCAGTTACAATGTGGAATCCCAGGAATATAGTATAACATGTTGCACGGTTCAGAGAGGGATGAGGGAGCACTGGGTCTACAGGCATGCAGGAATCACGAAAACCAACCAGAAGCTGGTCTTTACCTTTTGTCTGTGGGTAGCAAGAAAGGCTGAAGTTGACCTTGTTAAAAAAACCTTTACTTTCATTGTTTTTCTTCTCTCTGATATCTTTCCTCCCTTCACTGATTTACCATCTCCCTCAAACATTCCTTTCCTTAATCTTCCATTTGTATCTTTTTGAAGATACATTTTTCTTTCCATCTATTGAGATCCCCCCCCTTCCAATCTCTTCCCTAGATCCTAAATTATTACCTTTCTGACATCCTTAGGTGCATGTCTGAGACATCAATTGACATGGCACAGAGAGCAAAACCTGAAAAGTGGGTAATCGGGTTCCATTGGCTGCAACTTGTCTTGGAAATAAAATGAGTTACAGTAAAGAAATCTAATATTAGCCATTGGAAAATGAAAGTATCAAGCCTTTGTGAAAAATGCTACTTTGAAATTTAATGGAAGGATTTCCCCCCCCCTAGCAATATTTGAGCACAAAAAAATAGAACGGGCTCTGTGATAAAATCTTCTGTCTTGTAAATTTGAAGCTGATAAGCTTTGTTTTCCACACATAACAAGGACAGAATTTAATCCTCTGTATCTCTAAAAAAGAAAAAAAAGTTGTGTAGCTTTAATAATAGAACCACTTATCAGCACAGCACATCAGTATGTGCACCATATATTCTGCTTACTGACAGAGGAATTCATAAATTCTCTTTGTGGCTGTTCTAGTGGGAAGAAAAGTCTTCTACATTAAAACAAAATTAAGAAACCAGATGGTTACAACAACACAACATGTTGCTTATATAAAATCACAGCAATATTATCACATTACAAAGATTTACAATGTGGTATTTGCATGCCTCTTCTGCCTTTTAGCCTCGTGACAAAGGGACTAAGGGTTAAAAAATGGGATGGCCTTCTCTTGATGAACAAGTGTTTGGGACAGGAGTATCTGCTTAGCTGCTGAAATTCAGTTTTAGTATTAAAGGGACATATTAATGAGGCAAGTAACACTGAGGTAAATAACTCTTCCAACCTATTGGAATATACAGTTTTCTGAAAATTGAGGACAAGGTTTAAAAATGTAGGCCTAGGGAAAAATTTGAAATTGCAGGATTGAATGCTAAACTAAACTCCCTGCCACATGGCAGGGAAAACACCGGTAAAAGTGCGGCTAATTAGAGCCGCACCAAAATAGAGACTCTGCAGGCGGGATCCCATGGATCCCATGAGCCGTGCACCGTTGCTCCCCGGCACGATCAGATGCTGGGGAGGAAGAGATGAGTGGGAGGGGGAGGCTGCCGAACTGTGCATGTATGAGCATGCGCAGTTCGGCCGGGGACCGGGGATGCGATCCCACGGCCAGCCATGATGCGGACCTACTGGATGAACCACCTAGGTAGGTGGTTCATGTTTGCTGCGGGGCTGTCAGGGGAAGGGCCGGATCGGGAATGGGCCCGCAACACTTACCAGATGTTGCGGTGGGATCGTGCCCGTTTGCTGCATCCCCGATCTGGCCCACTCCCGACCCAAAACCCCTCGTGAGAACAGGGCCTAAGAAGCACAGTGGAAACTGTCTTGGGCACAAACCAGAATGGGCAGAACATGGTGGTGGCCTTAGGTTCACTCCTAGGACAGGCAAGTGTTGGAGTAGATTAGAAATAGGCTAGTAGGTGTCTAGCATGCAAAATACCTAGACACATGTGCCATTTTTAACTAATATCCATGTGCTATGCACTCAGGTATATGAATCCAAAATGTATTAATAAGAAGTGGCCTGGAAAGGCTAAGGGGCTAATAATTACTAACAAATAGAGATGCTGACTCACAATAACAAATATCAGGAAGTGTTCTAACCTGTAACTCTTATTAAATGAATTTATAAGAAAAGAACAGACATAAAGCAAGTAATACACAGAATTCTGTTCAGAATGAAAAGTCCGTTAGCTATGATTGCAAAGAACAAGTAATGTAAAATTAAGAATTTGAATGGAAAGCACTTTCTTGCTTTCAAAGAAAATAGAAGACTTCCCCAATACTAGATACCATACATGCATCATTTTATCTCTCAGTCTGCAATATTTTCTATATATTACATCATGAAAATACTTAAACACACATTTGGGAAAAAGTCACTTAACTTTAGTAAGATACGTTTGGAAAGTTAAAGGAATTGGTTAAATTGCAGTTATTAAATAAATTCCACAACAAATTATAGTAAAAAGCTTACTAACTGGCATCCATGGTGAATTCGGGTAGTCAGTTAACCCAATGTAACAGTTAAGAAACCGAGCAGTGCTGAGTGGGTGCTAGACATGGCCAGAGCAGGCTGAGATGCATGAGTAGGTGGCAGAGGACTAGGCAGGATGATTCAATCAGCTTTCAGCCATGGGTGTTGCTGATGGTCTTGCCGCTGAGTGACCCTCGGGTACAAGCTAATTCAACCGGGACAAGCACAGGAGATCGAGTGGAACAATGAGGAGGAGAGCGAGGTCAAAGATATGACCAACAATGAACATGACTTCGAAGTAAACGGACTATTGTACTAAAACGGAGTACCCCCCCCGTGGGAAAAGCGGAGCACAAGGAGGGATGCCTCTTAAGTGCATGGACAGATTAACGTAGCAAAGGGGGAAGGGGGGGAAATAAACAGCAAAATTTTTCTGAGAGACTTACTTGAGTACCGATAGTGAAGCGCCGAGTTTTTTGAGCCCTGGCAAAGCGGTTTCAAAGTGTAAACAAAGAGGAACATGGCGGCTTCCGGAGGAAAGTTTAAACCGAAACCAGGCAGCCAGAGCCCAAGACCAGAAGAGGGAGCAGACGTCATGAAGTTGCTAGCGGATATGCTTAAGCCGGTAATGGAGCAACTCAGTGGTATTAACCAGCAACAGGCCACACTAAATCAAAACTTCACTTCACAGCAGTGCCAGCTGGCAGAAACGGAAAAGAAAGTGGAGCAAGCAACTGAGAAAATCACAGAGATGGACACCACAAATAAGAAAATGAAGAAAAGAGTGAGAGATGTGGAAACAACACAAAAACTTCAGGAAACTCGTTTATTACAGCTCCAAATGGAAAAAGCTAACATGACTCTCAGATTTCAGGGGGTGCCTGAAACTGAAAAAGAAGATCTGAAGAAGACTCTGGGAGAGATCATTGCTCCAGTAACAGGCTTATTAGCGGATGAGATAGTAAAAGACATGGAGGCTGCCTATCGGGCATACTCCAATTATATTAAAAAAAATAGCCTGCCTGGAGAGATTGTGGTTAGATTTGCAAGAAGACAGACCAGAGATACTATATTAAAAGCAACTTTGGCAAATCCACTGAAAATTGGAAATACAATCTTTAAGACTTTAAAAGACATTCCATTTGAAATTCGTCAAAAGAGGAAAAGTTACAAGAAATTGATCTCATTTCTTCAAACCAATGGAATTCCGTATTGGTGGGCGATTCCTGAAGGTGTCATCTTTAAAGTCAACAATAAAAGAGAGAAGATTGGCTCCATCTTCAAAGCTAAGGAATTTTTGAGACGTCAGCTAGGGCCATGGGAAGAAATTAAAGATGAAGAAACCAAATCAACTGACTCTGCTACTTCTGGAATGGACGAGGACTCTGTGGGTGAAGCGGGAACAATGAAAACTGTATATGACTTTAGAGATAGAAAACCGAAGTAAGGGCAGAAGGACTCTGTAAATTGCTCTTTGAAGTAAAGAAGATGCTCAAGAAGTACTCTCACAAAGACTAACTTAATAATATAAAAGCTCTGTAAAACAAGAACTTCACAAGTATATTGTATTACTAACACTTGTATTACTAACACTTGTATTACTTACATTTAGTTTAACAGGGAAAGGATCTCCTACTTTTGGGTTTTTAGTTAGTGTGGGTATCTTTCCTTTATCCTTAGTTGTAGACCCTATATTTTTCGTTGTAGTTTAATAGTCTTATGAAAAATAATAAAATACCCCCTTGGGAGTTAAAAAAAAAAAAGGAAATGCAAGATTGAGAAACCTGTAGGAGAACCCTTCAACCTTCCAGGACATTCAGTGGGTGACCTCAAAGTAGCTGTTTTATTACGAAGGAACTTCAAGTACAGAATGGAAAGGGAAATTGCTGAATTACAAGTTACTGCAACACTTGGAACAAAAACATCCCCAGGACTCAACAGGGATATTTGTTTCTTATCTCATTACATATGCTAACTATACATCCTCTGTATTTTAGTGTATTTCTTTTTCAGAACAGTATATTAGAATACTGAATGTAATGCAAGGAATATTGGGATGTTTTGCTGCATCCACCTCAAAAAAGAAAAAGAAATGCTACCTCCACGCCCAAGAAGAGATAATGGAGGGTATAGTTTACTTCCCACAATTAGAAAATATACCTTGACACATTTATCACCTATTTTGACATATTTATTGCTTTACAACTGTTGACTTTATAACCTTAGCTTGTTGTTTAGTTCTGGCTTTGCATATGTTCATCATTTTACTTGTCAATTTGCTGTTCAGCCCATCTATAAGGTTGAACCTTACCTACCATTCCAATGTATTTGAAAAGTGTGCATGCACACGAAAACTCATACCTTGAATAAAACTGTGTTGGTCTTAAAGGTGCCACTGGGCTCAAAAATTGTTCTACTGATTCAAACCAACATGGCTGACCACCTGAATCTATCTTCCTCTGAAATGTTTGTGACAGTTATAGTAATAAACAACAACTAGAATTGTTTTAAGTAGTTCATACTCACATTTGCTTGGCTAATGATAAAGCAGCCCGTCTTTCATAACCATAGGATTTAGAATTCCTTCTGCCACAAGCTTGCTTTGCTAACTAATACCATTACCTCTTCTAAATCAATGATCATGGAAAAGATTGCTTTGAAAGCCAATGAAGGGCTGCAAGCCAAAGAAAGGTTGTATCCTACTAAAGTTTCCATTCAGTCTTGCCTAATCCCTTTCTTTACTGAAACCCTAGTCTCAAATGGCTTTTGTTCACATAAATTCCTCAATCCATAGCATTCCCTTTTCAGATTTCATAAGGGATCTTCTCTTTCTTCTTTCACTAACAAAAAATCTGGTAGGGATACAACCCATTGTGTCACTGGATGATATTCCTAACAACCTGATCTCAGTGTGAACTGAAACCTAAGCTCCGATATATTATGATTCAATCAAACGTTCAGGCTATTTCTTAATGCTGCTGTAACCAGTACATGAAGATATATCAGTAAATTCATTTTTAAGTAGGCTTGCCAGTCCCCAGGTCGTGGGTTTTTTTCCCCCATTCTTGGGGGCTTCTCCTCACAGCCAGCCAGCTGGCCAGTGGGGGAAACCCCACCCCCAAACAGCTACATTCCCACATGACTTCCCCAACATGATGACATCACCTGGAAGTCATGCCAACACGCTAAGGAAGTCACATGGGGATGCTCTGGTTTGAGGGAAAAACTCTGTGGTTTTAAGCCAATTTATCATAGAGTTTTGCCCTTAAACCAGAGCGTCCTTGGCATGATGACATCGTTTCCAGGTGACATCATCACACTGGAGACATCCCAGAACTCCCCACAAATCCCCCCATTGGAGTGATGAGGGGACCTGGCAAGTGGTAACCCTATTTTTAGGAAATAAACAATATGCTGCCTTGGCAACTTATCCATCAAATACGAAAAAAAATTAAATAATTTTGCTCCTCCTCAAGAACATGTGTGACAGCTATAGTAACAAACACCAATAATTATTTCATGTACTTTATACTCACATTTGCTTGGACAATTACAAAGTAACGAGTCTTTTCTTCATAATTTAGCCTCTCACGCAAAACTACTGCTCCAGACAACGTAAGAGGAATGTCAAAAGTCCCATTTGATGTCTGAAAATTTAAAAGAAAAATAGAGGAGAAAAGGGATCACACAAAACAATGATGTAATGAGTTTAATATAGCCAGTGTAACACTCTCGCTGACTCTATGACTCAGAGTGTACATTACTCCACATATTCAAGCTACTTGTAATATTCTTTGTGATACTCACTAGTATCACAAAAACTGGGGGGAACTTAACCCAAACTGAATTGAATTAAGTACCTAAAGGTTAAGAAGATATGAATATATGGGCCCAATGATTCTGTTCGTCAAATTTAAAATTAATAAATATAAACAGATATACAAATTATAAATGAATTTATTTCAAGTTAAATTAAAAACAGATATTAGACTTTGTGATAGCCTCAATTAAGATTCATAATATACAATGACAATCAGAAATGACTATTATTGACCCTGATCAGATGCGTTTCAGCCCACTGGCTTTCCTCAGTGGTCAAATGACATTAAAGGAATGGCTAATGAAGAAGAGATTGGATTTATACCCCACCCTTCACTCAGAATCTCAGAGCAGCTTACAATCTCCTTCCCGTCCTCTCCGCACAATAAACATTTTGTTAAGTACGTGGGGCTGAGAGAGCTCTGAGAGAACTGCTCTTCAGAAAACAGCTCCCAAAGTAGTTGGCTGACCCAAGGTCACCCAGCAGGCTTCATGTGGAGGAGGAGTGGGGAATCAAAACCGGTTCTCCAGATTAGAGTCCGCCACTCTTAACCAATACACTGAACTGGCATTACAATACAACTGTCCCGCTCCGGGGGTCGCGGCCCATGCCCAGCCAACCCCGGGACTACCCGCACGGCACCCCGAACCACGGCGAGACCACTCACCGGCAGCTCCAACCGCCAACCCCGCGTCGTGAAGAGGCCTCGTCGCCCGGGAATGCGACGAGAAAGCGCCACGCGGCTCCCCTCTCGGCAGGGGAGGGAGCCCGACGAAGAACCGCACCCGCGCCCGAGGACAGGGCGGCGGCACAGGGAGCGTCGGGAGGGGGCGTCTACAGCAAGATCCCCTAGAGACGGGGCAGCTGAGCGGCACGGGAACACCCAGACGGCGTTCTCACTGATATGCGGGGGCGGGGCCAGGAGCATGGAGGGAGCC